TGCCCAGGGGCCCCGCGGGGGTAGCACGGCTCGCTCCGCCTATTGCTGCTTTTTTTCGTCATCCCCCTCTGCGTCCTGCTCCTCGTCCTGGTCCTGCTGCTGCCGCTACTCCTCCTCCTCCGCCTCCTCCTCATCCTGCTCCCCCTCATTATCCTCCTCCTCCGCCTCCACTTCATATTCCTTATATTCATATTCCTCCTCCTCCTCATCATCATCATCATCATCCTCATCATCAACAGCATCACCACCATCATCATCATCATCACCATCAACAACAACAACAACAACAGCAGCAGCAGCAGCAGCAACAACAACAACAACAACAACAACAGCAACAACAACAGCAACAACAACATCCCTCTCCTCATCCTCATCCCCATCCTCCTCGTCATGATCATCGCCATCATCCTCCTCTTCCTCCTCCAACGACATCCCTCTTCCTGCTGCATGTGTTGCATTCTCGCCGGTGTATCTCGAAGTCGAAGATGGCAACGATGCGACGGGAGAGACACGCTAGCATGTGCGAGGCACCAGGGTTCCCAGATCGTCGGCCCCAGCGCTGTCCTGAACTGGGGCGGCCTGGTCAATAGTGGTCACCCGGTCGCTGCTGCGCGCACTACGATCCAGGATCTAGAAAGACGAACTACGCGAGACAATGCTTTGACTAACGAGGCGGCCGCTCGGAGCTCCGCTTCACTGGAGGTGGCGCCAGGGAGGAAAATTGACCCTTGCCGTAAGGGGCAGAACTCTCTGGAAGCATCGTCCCAGCACGATATGTGCCTACCACAGCCTGCTAGAGGACCTTATTTGCCTCCGTCGAAGCTGCACTGGAGTTTCGTGGGTCTGGCGGGTCGACGTGAAAGTCAGCACTGAAGTCTGAGGTGGAATCTTGGCGGTCTTGGATTGCCTTCGTCGCCGACAAGTCGGCAGCGATATTGCCCTCCCAGAATTTATGCCGGAACTGGAGACCACCGCGCCTGGCCGCGCGGAGGTGGAAGTTGTTCCACAGTTCCCGGAAACGCGTCTGCACTGTGAAGACCAAGGCCCGCTAGTACGGCAAATTGATCCGGAGCGCCCCGTTGATCCAGCCGACCACAGTTGAGTTGTCACCCCAGCAATCCGCCAGGATGCACCACCTGAATGGTTGTCTCCACACGATGGGCACATCAATAAATATCCGTCTGCGTTTTTGTTTCTCCTCGGAGGCCCGGGCGGAGTCCTGAATATGTTTGAGGAAATCCCCTTCGAGACCCCACTGTTGCAAGACACTGTAAACGAATTCGTCCTCCTTTTTGGCCCAATCATCTGTCTGGTAAGCGCATTTCCAGCAGCCCGTGCCGTAAAGAAGAATAAGTTGGTCTTCCCATGTAGACCGGCGTTTCCACCCCCTCCTGCGGTTCCATTTTCGCAACGCGCCGTCCACATCGAGGAACTGGCCCGTGCGGTCCAGCGCTCGCTTGACCCCCGCGGTCACTTGCCAGTCGTCCTCCGCGTAGGAACTGAAAGCGGCATTCACCCATCGGGCCTGCACTGGACGGGGCTGCTCGAGCTCGGCTCGCTCCGGGTGGCTATTCGCGGCTGCTGGGCGCGGGTGCTCATAGAGGTGCGAGGCGAGACGATAAATACGGCTAACTATGAGCTTCACAGCGTTATTGTAATCGCTATGTCTGCACAGCTGTCGCCAATCGCGTGGCACGGCGCGTGCACTCGACCCATTCCTCGCCAGGTCGTCGGGGGATGCGAGCCCCGCGTCGCAGAAGACCGCCCTCGACTTGCCGGAGCCGTTGGCGCACACATTTGGACACGAACCATCCGACACAACCGACAAGAAGAGAAGGAACCACACACCCACTGAAGCGACGAAGTCGTTCGTTGCGGGGAAGAGCAGTACGTCGAAAGGCCGGCTCAGACCAGAAGAGTTCGATTGCCTTGCTGACGCGGTGGTCGACGGCGGCCTTCGTGCAACCCGCCTCGGAAATGCGCGCGCCCAGTTGCACCGAAGACGACGCCCTGGGCGCGACCACCCGGCCACTGCGGGGAGGGTCTCCGAAACCCCCGGGTGGGAAAATGGCGCCGACCGCTGCTCTCTGGGGCACGGGGGCCAAGGCTGATGCACTCGAGGGGCCCATCTTTCCAGCGAAGCCGCGTGCTGACATCCGGTTCGTGAGCTCTTGTAACATGGCGGCGGCATCCACTGCATTGCCGCCAATCAGGAAACAAATGTCTGCCCAACACAGGTGGGTCCAGATTTCGTCATGGGGGCGAACGCCCAGCCCACGTGACTTCCAAGAGAGAACCAAATCGCCGAATAAGCTTTGCGTGACAATATTCCACGATACTGCTGCTTCAGGGTTCCGAAGCGTTTCGGGGGATAAGCAGATGCCCCGTGTCACCGTCAAACAACGCCCAGGTCTCCACGCGCCGACCTCCCCAGAGCAGGGCCGCAGCAGGACGCGGCGGCAGGCGGCAGGCCCGAAGGGCTGCGAGGACGACGGAAGGGCGCACGAAATCGAATGCTTTGCGCACGTCGCCCACAATGACGCGCATAGGTATGCGTTCTGGCCACTCGAAAGACTCACTGAGAAGCACGCGGGGAGTCTCGGTGATCTGCGTGCACGCCATCCCCGGTGCAAACCCCAAAAATGCACACATCACGGTGCACCCCCTTTACGAGGCCCATCCCGATCCAAATAAGTATGCAGCATGGAACACGAACAGCATTCTAGAATGACGCCGGTAAGACTAATACCCCGAAGCTGTTGCATCGAGTTCGCCCCAGAACACTTAGCCAAGAAGATAACCACGGCGCAGCACCACTCCTGACCAGGCCCCCCCCCCGCCAAATCGCGCACGAAAGAGGCCCCCTATTTTGTAAACGACCTCATCGGGGAGACTATTCGCCATCTCGGCGGTCACTTCATCCATTCCCGGAGCGCTTCCTGCTTTCAGACCAGACAGGCCGGCATGGACATCGGAGATTTGCACGTCGACATCCCGCGCAATATCAACTCGTTCCAAGAAGCCGGCGATGCAGGCAATGAGGTCGTCGTCCGACCAGTGGGGGTCCATGTACATATTCACGCAATGTGTGCGTCTGATATCATACCATATGCTGTGATCATGCACCTGGGAACCATCGGGGCCGTGCAGGAGACTTCAAGATAGGCTTGCTAAGTTTACTCTTAGCCGAAGGCGCGGCATGGCGCAGGACGCTGCATTTCCATTGTCTTTGAGTTATCCGCAACCGTTTGCGGACGTGTTGCTTGCAATCGATCGGGCACGCACGCTCCTCAGCTTCCAACTGCTTCACAATAGGGAGCGTTTGCCGGATTTGCCGGAATCTCGACGGGGATGCGGCGTAGGGGATGCTGAGCGCGCACGGGGCAATCGCCCCGAAAACGCCCCGCAGTTCAGTGACCTCCTGGAAGGCGCCGTCGACTGTTTCACGGTATTTGTCGAGATCTGCATCCTTAACTGACCATCCCTGGACGCTGGGTTCTTCTTCCGCAAGGCTTTGCGCCATGGCACGCCCGTCAGATTACACACACCTGCCCGGAAAACAATCAAAGTATGAGTGAGAGGGTTGCCAATGCAGCGTCTAAGGCTAAAATTTCTGCTACAAATGCCGATGTTGCGCCGCTCACCTGGAAACCGGCATGCCCTAACATAGCATACGTCCATGATTCACCGTGGCGTTGCACACAATATAAGACCCAAGCGCATCCAGCGGACCCGTCTCGATACCGAAGGCCGCCGTCGCTACACAGCCGAATGTTGCACCCGCTCCGCAATGCATCTCGCAAGCTGTCGCTGTCGACGTTCTCCCAGCGGCATGCGGTATTCATCGCATAATTTGCTAAATGGTCAGCTTGCACATTGTATTTGCGAGGGCGCCATTCGACCATGTCTGCCCAAGGAGTCCTCGGACGCCAGTCGCGACTGAGTAAGGCTGCCAATGCCCGGGCCATGCGCCGGAAGACAGCTTGATGCTCTTCAGACATCGCGGCAACGGTGCCATTCAGTAGGTTAGCCAATATTTCGCAGTCGACGGCAATGCTCAAGCAGTGGTTGTCGTGGCTCCAGTGCTGGTCTGAGTCATGTGCAACCATCGCGGGTAGATTTCCCAGATTCTCGTGGCCGTGCGCCGCGGCGTCAGCAAGTTGGAGGGGCACCTTCTCAACAACGCCCCGTGCACTGGGCAAGGACCACAATTGGCACATGCAATCTATGAAATGCGCGCACTCGTGTTTCCAGCGGCCTCTATCGAAGTGTGCACGGTGAGATCGCCAGTCAGGGCCGCACGCAGCAACCAGAGCATCTTCCCAAGCAGTGCGGTGACCAGAAGTGGAGTGGACGTACTGCGCCTGACGACGGGCCTTCTCGCCAAAACATTGCGCAAGCTCCCAATCAAGGGCGCTTCGGAACTCTCTCGCCCATTTCAGCGGCGTTGCTCCTCCTGGGAATCTACAGTCTAGCTCCCGCCGAGCGTGTAGGAATACCATCCGGAGAACTCGACAATGCATCGGCTGCACGCCGGTGAGACGGAACCACCTGCCAATCTGCATAGCACTGCGTATATTGCACGCCCCTGGGCCCTCAGTCGGCGCGGGCCGGAGACGAAGCATCCTCCGCAAGTGCTGTAATTCCCACGTTCGCAGCCGGTGCAGAAGACCACTGGTGAGGTGCCACGATTCGCTACCAAATACAGCAGAAGCTCGCGGTGCCGAAGCCCACCCTTCCAATCGTTCTCGAATGCCGCCGCGACCCCGGAGAGCAGGTTTATGCTTATAGTAGGCCGCGTCACCAAGCCCCAGACGATGCCCGACGCTGCAATCGGTAGAGCCGGAGTCGTCGATAAGAACACCCAAGCACTCTAGTTGGACAACTTGCTTGTAGGGGAGGGGGTCGGGCAGACAAGGCGCGGTCAATGAGAAAGAAGACCCGCGGGCTGAACCGGCAGCCAAAGTAAGCAGAGAAGATGGTTTCCAATCCAGCCGGGCCTTCGCAAAAGCCAGAGTTGCCTCGGAGACCATGTGCTGCAGATGGTTCGGGTCGGTGGCAAAGAAGACGATGTTGTCTGCCCAGATCGCATGGTGAATGAGGTTCCCGTCGTACCTGACACCCCATCCCTGCTCGCTCCAGTTGGCCACGACGGGTTCCGATGCGCATTCCACAATCGCGTTCCAGCAGTCCGGAGTCTCCACGCCTCCCTGTTTTCCGCCTCGCTCGTAATTAAAAAACTCTGTATCCCCAGCCCCAGGGATCGCAAATCTCCCTCGTAACCCATGCAACTCCTGCAATAGGAGTCCCACCATGCCGTGCGACGCTCCCATGTGAAGCAGAGATTGCGTCAATACGTCGTGGTCCATGCTGTCGAATGCGAACTTCACGTCCTGGATGCTGACGTATAGGTTGTGACCCCATGAGCTTGCGTTGAAAATCATTTGCTGCATGAGGGCTGTGATGTCACTCGTGCGGAAGCCTCGCTTGAATCCGTATGTGCGTACAGCCGTCGCCCGGATTTGGCCCTTCAGTGATGGACGCAACGTTAACATGTACCATTTTAACATGTTTGATAATTTTGCAATCCACCGAAACTGTTCGAGATGAGTCACCGCTTTGCTCTTAGGTATCCCTACGAATTCCAAGAGACGCCAATAATCGGACTGCTCGTTGCCGCTGTTGAAAGACGCACGTTTTTGGAACAACTGCCAAATCATCCACGTAAGCTGGATAGGTAAGGCTTTCCACACCTCGGCCGGGACACCATCAGGACCAGCGGCCTTGCCCATCTTAAGGGACCCGCGTGCCTGGAGAAAGTCCCAGAACTCGATGGTGTTCGACTCCAATGCCTCCGTGGCCCGCTCCTGGTAGAGTGCGATCTGCTGGTGGAGTCGCCGCGCCTGGGCGTCATGAGAATTCTGGTCATCACCGAAACGCTCCTGGCCAAAACGGCGCCCTTCAGCCAACCACTGTGGCCGGTTACCAGAGAGAGATCCTTCCACGATCAATTGCTGAGGTAGGTACGTCTTTGCCATAGGACCAGGTCGTAAGAGCTTCAACTTCCTGTGAACCTTCAGCTTGTGCAAGTGTCGTTTGTGACGTTTCCACGTCGACGCTATCTGTGGGGCTGCATCTCCAACGGAGGTCAAATAGGTCCGCTTGGCTTCATTGGCGATCCGGCTAGCATCTCCAAAATCACGCCGTCGAGTACGTGAGGTGGTGTACGGGATGCTCTTGGCGATCTCGAAAATGCGATCTTCGACATTCTGCAGGGTAAAATGCATCATGACATCTGTAGTGCAAGCCAGTTTGAAGACATGCGCATCAGACTCGGAAGACGGCTGCCATCCATGAAGAATCTCCGCGGGAGCCCGAGGAACCCACAATGGCGCCTCAAGAGTCACATCCGCACAAATCGGGCGGTGATCAACCCTCTCGCGGAAAGGTGCTGCATCGAGGCTCTGAGGGCCCGCTTGTCCAGAGACGCCTGCGGATACGGCAACGTAGTCAATTTGAGATCTTTGGGCCAGCGGCCGTTTCCATCCGCATGTCCACAAAAGCTCCCGGGAAGTGTGCGACCCAAATGTGTTCAGACATCTAACCCCGAGGCTCCGTAGCCATCCAATGACGGTCCGGGCCATCTCCGGGGTATGCCCTCGCAGAGCGGGCAGAACATCGTGCCCAGTAACGTGATCCAAGTTAGCCGGCAACGTAACGTTAGCATCGACGCCGAGGATAATAGAGTAGTCTTGCTGCGAATTATGTTTCCTTACGAATTCCAGGGATTCTGCAATGACGGTGCTGGCCCTCCCCGCAGGATCTTCGTGGTCAAGAATGTGTGCGCTCAAGAGAATCACCCTGCCCACCACAATGCCGCTCCAGAAATCTCCATGAGACTCGCCAGAGACCAAATGAGAAAGCTGACGCGGTAACAAAAATCCACAATCACTCCCAGCAGCTCCGACAGCAGGCCCACGAGAGTGGACGACATAACCGTCGGCACACGCTCCTCCATGCCACTTCCCAATCTCCTGAAGAAGCACAACGGCACCACGCAGCCCAACCTCCGACATGGCACGTGTAATCTTCCCAAAACTGGTCATGGGTTTCTTGCAGGTGTTCCAAGACACCACCGTCCCAAAATGCAAATCCCCGTCATGCATGTTTTCCGGGCACCTTCACATACGAGTAGCGGCAAAAACTGCCGCGGTAGCGTCCTCCACGGTCATCTCGAGGAGCGTGCTCGCGTCCATCGCCCAGGCGATGTCGTTCTCATCCGTAATGTGGCCGAGGTATTTCGCCTGTTGCCCCTCCGCCTCCAGGTAGACGGAGAAGTCGGGAGCCAGGAAAGCTCTAATAGTAAACCCCTTGCTCTGGAATTTCTGCTCGGCGAAACGTCGCAATTTCCCCATCGTGTTGTACATGTTCTGGATGTCCGGGTGCCTCTCCAAAGTAGCGTAGGGGCGCTTCCCGTTGATGTCGCCCTTCCCGGTGGCAAAGAGTTCCCGCCAAATCCCGGACGCTGGGTTCCCGGAAGAAAAAGCCGATGTTGGCGTCAGAGCTGGAGATAGCAACCATAAGCGGGAACTGACCGAAACGACGGCCGGACGGTGCTGTGAGCTCCACCTGGTTCCTGATGGCAAATCGGGTGTGTAGACGGGACGGCACGGCAATGTAGTCAATAACCCTACGCGAGTGAAATACATGATGGCAGTGTGTGGCGCGGTCCAGGAGGTCGGCATACGTAGACAAATGGGGGCAGCGGATATAGATTAAGAATTCAATGAGTCGTTGCTGACGTTCAGGATAAGGACCAGAAGCCCAAGAACAATCGCCACAAGGACCAATTATGCTTTCAATGCGAGGAAAATGTGCATTGAGATCGCCAAAAAAAATGATGTTTAACCTGACGATGGTGTCGGAGATGACGATGAACTGTTTCTGCATCGCGGAATGCTGCTCGAATTTCGTCTTGCAGGCGTCCCCGCTGCGGAAGGCAAGATGTGCCGATGCCAATCGTCCAAAACACATCCCGCAACTACTGAGTCCTTCGTGGAAGAACTTACTAGTGACGTTCCAGGCCATCCCACTTGGATAGACCAGAGCTACGTGTGATTCGTGGGCGTGTCGAATCTTCCACCTATGTACTTCTGGGTCGTCAGGCCAGTTTTCGATATTTCCTGGAGGCAGATGACAACGCTTGAGGTCCCATACCACCTGCGGAGGTCGCACAACACGTCTGGGAACTCAGCGAAACCAAATTTCACAATACTCCGTTATCTAACTTTGAGGCCGTCAATTGTCCCCAACAGGCGGCCCCCCGGTCGACCTCAGTGAGGCTGCGTCTTCACCGTGCCATTAGGGCTATGGTGCTCTTTCGTCTCCTCCTCTTCCTCCTCCTCCTCGTCCTCCTCCTCCTCCTCCTCCTCCTCCTCCTCGTCCTCCTCCTCCTTCTCCTCCTCCTCCTCCTCCTCCTCCTCCTCCTCCTCCTCCTCCTCCTCCTCCTCCTCCTCCTCCCTTAGGGTCGTCGGCCGCCCAAGCCCAGGCGGCCGCTCGGGGCGGGTCCTCCCGGGCTGCCTGGGCAGCCTCGTCCCGCCGCCGCTGCCGCTCCTGGAACTGGGCCTGCCGAGCGCGGAGCGCGGAGCGGGCGCAGCGCCCTCCGCCGCGCAGGGAGGCCGGGAGAAGCAGGCTTCGAGGACGGGGAGGAGGAGGAGGAGGAGGAGGAGGAGGAGGAGGAGGAGGAGGAGGAGGAGGAGGAGGAGGAGGAGGAGGAGGAGGGGGAGGAGGAGGAGGGAAGAAAGAGGGAGGAGGAGGAGGAGGAGGAGGAAAAGGAGGAAAAGGAGGAGGAGGAGGGGGAGGAGGAGGAGGAGGAGGAGGAGGGGGAGGAGGGGGAGGAGGACCAGTGTAAGCCCAAGGCAAGTAAGCGACGCTGCAACAAAAAAAAACTCCAAGTTCCCTTCTCACTGATGCCTGCAATAATGTTTTCTGCATTGCGGCACCCACTCCATCCTGGACCTATGCATGATCAAACGCATTAGTACCTTGCCAAGTGTGCTCAGACGCATTCGTATGGAAATTCAGTCGCTCTGACATCATTCCTAGTCCCACTTACACCCATATTCGCGAATTTTCTGGCAAGCCATCATCCCTGATCGCTATCGCCCATCGCTGTCGCTGCCATCCGTCGCTATCGCAAGCATCCGTCGCTATCGCTATTGGCCCATCGCTATCGCTATCACCCATCGGCATCGCCATCACCCATCGCTATCGCTATCACCCATCGGTATCGCCATCACCCCTCGCTGTCGCTGGCTCTCAACTGACCCTTGCGTAAGGGTCTGTTGAGAGCCCCCCTCGCTATCGCCATCATTGCTTCGTCTATCGTCATCGCCCTTTCGCTATCGCTATCCCCCCCTCGCTATCGCTATCGCCTCCACTGTTGGGAGTCGCCATCGGTTCGAGGCTGGCTCTAAAAAGACCCCTGCGCAAGGAGCTGTTGAGGGACTCCCTCGCTATCGCCTTCTAGTGCAGTGAGTTTTAAGTGCTGCGAATCCTGTTGTGCCGTACTAACGATAGTGCCAACAGTAGGAAGGAGCCGGGTGAGCGGCGATGGTACATCTCAAGAGTAAAGAGTGAAACTTGTTCTGTCTCGATGTCAGGTAGCTGGCCGCGGTGCGGCCCGGTCAGATAAGTGGCCGGTCACTGGGCCAAAATGGCCGCGGACAAACGCTCGATACATCTCGCCTTTGCCCTTCCTCCTGCACAGTCACGCCCGACTGAATACTATTGTTCTCTCCTCGGTGGCGACGGAAGGGGAAGGTAAGTCCCCAGAGGCCACCGAAGCCCCTGGTCGTCCCCAGAGGCCGAAGCCCTGGGAGGCCTCGGGAGGTCCCTAGGAAATCTCGGAAGCCAGAAACTACCGCAAACACATTTTACATATACATCTACGTATATGGATACAGTGCGGGCGCGGCCGCAAGAAACCCTCGCAAGAAACCCAACCCTGAAAACCCGCGCGCGAGGTGCACTGGAGGGGAAAACCCGAGCACCCTGAACGCGGTAGCTTCTTCGGCGGCTGCGGAAGTCACCGCGCAGCGCGCGGAGGGAAAAAACCCTGGATACCCAGACGGAAAGCATATGGTTTCTCGATGCGCGCCCCCGCTGTATGTAGGAGGAAGAATTTCAAACATAGGATGTCTAGAAGGGCCTGACGGGGAACAATCTCCCTGGAAACGGTTCTCCCAGGACCCAGCCAAGGCAAGCGCCGCCGTGGCCTCGCTGCTGCGGAGGAGGCGCCTACACCTGCTGCGGCAAAAACTTCGCGGCCCACAAGAATGGGAAATTCAACCACAGCAAGTGTAGAGCCCCTGTCACTCCGAACCCAGGCAGCGGCGGACGGTGGTTCCACCGTGGGAGCCAGGGCAACGCCTGCCGCGAAGGCGTCCCCCT